AGTTAGTTGACCTCAAATGTCTAATGCTTCATTGAATAGGTATGCCAACAAGCCTACCTAATGTTAAATATATACTATTAAATAGAGACAAAATTTTATTTAAGATCTATGTAACTGGAAAAAGAATAAAAGTGAAGTAGCATGAATAGATATGGATAAAAAAGTGGACAACATTTAATTATTTAAGGTGTATTCCACTAGGCAGTGGGTTATTTCGATTTTCCTTCAAAAGGAACTTGTAGGACGCGATAGGACTAGCTATCAATAAAAAGGACTGAATATGAAGCTATAAGGATGAGTAAAAGAAAATGATAGTTTTGTAAATGTATAGGGTTGATTTGTTGTATTATATTTTTTCAAGTCTATCACGTATACCTTCGAACGTTAAAATTCACAAACGACCTTCTAACTCTCAAACCTGGTGCCTATGAACTTAACAGAAGGGTAAATTTGGAGGCAGGTTTAGCCATGAAGAAATATATTTTATCAACTACTTTTCATACAAAGCTAAGGGTTAATTTGTGTGAGTAGATTGTTGAGTCTATTTAAGTCTGATTCTAATTCTCTTAAGGGTTATAGTCCACCGCGGACCAGCAGAAGATACTCCAACAAGGACATTACGCAGCGGTTCGACAAGTTTAGCCCCTTGACTCACATCAAATCTCAACCAGAATCCACCCAAATTTTATAATTTCTGAGTAAATGTGGATAGATAGACCTTCAAATAAAACGAAGTTATGACTGCAGATAAAGCAGATCAATTAAAATTGGAGACAAAAGTTGTAGATGATACTTCAGCTAATGTCTATTCGAAAATGTTCTATTATGGTCCGCATAATTTGGTGTAAGGTTATGCTAAATGTTGGACTTACCTATCTTCAGTGGACAACCCTCCTTTGTCTCATGTTGCGCCTTAACCAGCACCTCTTGCACTTCTCGGGCACTCATCATGTTGGGACTGACAAGCGCAACTCGGATTCGTGCTCCTTTCGCCACGACCGCTGTATCAAAATCGCCGCAGTGTTGTATCTGAAGACAGTCATGAAATGGAAAAGCTTGCTCTCTAATCTCACCATCTGAAACGTCGAGGTGGCGCAGCTCAGTCAATTGAGCCAGCAGATCGTTACGATTTGCTGGGGTTGCATACAGCCAGGTGCCCTGCTCCTTACAGAGGCTGATTAGGTTCCGGGCCACGACCTCCTAGTGAAGAAAGTAAAAAAAAGTCAAATATGAAATCTTACTTTTTTGCAGAGTAGGGAAATAGGGGAAATTATATACAATTTTGAATAAAACCCATTTACGCACGCTAGCTATGATGTAGGGAGACCAAGCTGTAATGTCGCTTTTGAAGACAAGCTCGGATTTCAAGCCGAAAGCTACATCTTAGCGGGTGGGAATCACCGGAATAAATGGTTATCGCCCCATGTCTTCAGATTGTACCAAAATGAATTAACTAGGTCTATGATGACAATGAATTTCAGTTAACCTTGTCTTCCTAAGGGATTTCTTATCTTACTACTATCAACTTTATGCACATGACCAAGTTTCTGATTTCGTTTAAGCAAATATGCTTGCCATCAAAAATGCAATCTTATTTGACCCTGTCCAGAATCGGCGCGCACATGATTTTCACATACATATTCTTGTTGGTCCTTTCATTAGGCTCACAAATAGAAGCCATACTTGGAAAAATAATGACATATTCCTGTATGAAATAAATTTGGAGACAGCATTCTGCAATGACCGAAGCAATTTACGATCTCACAAATGCAATTTGAATGCTAAGCAAAAAGTAGGTAACATACTTTGCATTGTGATGAGGTTTACAACCATCGTATAGCATTAGTCACGCAATGAACCTAGGGCTAAAACAACACACAAATACAAACTTGGAGACAAATGTCAACTCGTATAAATGATGAAAAACCGGGGTTCGAAGAAGCATTTATGGAGCTGGTGTAACTCGAATTTCCATTTAAAGGGAAAAGTTAATTGAAGAAAAGTCGTAAATTAGTCCCATCAGAAACCGAAGGTTCGAAGGTTTAGTGGATTGCTGAGATATTTAGCAAAGTATAGTCTCTTGTTCTGACGATGTCCGTAGCATGAAAGTTGAAAGCTCAGCACAGCATATCGGTATTGTGGGACGGCGAGCTTAGAAATTCTTTGCACAATCCAACCGTCTTCTCTTCAACACAATCCTCTATAGACTTCCGGTAAGACCAATTCACAAATTCCGTCTTCATAATGGAAATTCAAGCCACAAATTTTAACCAAACTGCTCCCAACTACACATAATCACATAAAATTATTTTCTAAACTATCAAAAAATCGCAACTAGGAGTTTCAGTCACCCAAAGTTGCATAGCGTTATGAAAGACTGATAGTGGGAATAGTCAACTCCCCGTCCTTCATTACATGTGACCTATGGTGCTTAAACTCTTACATCGGCCTCATGTCAAAATAAACCCTGAATAGGCTAAAAACTCTGTTGCTCGCCTTGTGACTACCAAATGGTCCACATATAAGACTGATGACAACTTCACCGGTCCCGGCCTCTTCATTTAGCCCTTCTGATGCCTCCATCCCCTCCTCAGCCTCATTTTCACGCAGTATCGATTCTCTGTAGCTGGATTTCACCTGTCCGGGAATCAAACAAGATGGAACTTCAGTCAGCTCAGCCGCTGTCGTGCATGAGCGGCCTTCGGGAGTGAAGGCTGGTGTCTTGGCCAACTCAACTGCCGTCGATTCACACAGCAAATGTATGCTCAGCAATTTACCACTTCGTCGGCCATTGTGTTCATAAGTCGGCACAGAGTTGTCATTGTCTCGCAACTCAACAGGCTTCCTTTCAGAAATGAGAGGTTCAGTCAAGCTGGTGAGACGATCCAGAGGCCAGAGGCAACAGCAAGCCTCCAAATTTGTTAGAGCTTCATCATACCAAGGCAGTGACAACTGGCCACTTCCGACGTTCCCTATGTTGCCACTGAGCCGCAGGTGAGAGAGTTGTTGCAATTCACGCAGCATGAGAACTGAGGAAGAATGTCCGCTGAAAATGGAATGAAAAATCTAGTAATTATTATCATCCAGTAGTCGCAGATATCCAATGATCTTGTCCATTTAGGTTGTCATTTGCTTAGTTTGCATTCTTGCTTCATGTAGCATATGCTGATACTTCATATGAGATTACTATTCTTAATTTATTCATAAGTTTCCACATAACTCTTCTAGACATTAAATTGAATAGCATAGCCTGTTGTTGAAGCAAATTTGCTCATCTGAAAAGATTATTTATCCTTAAATATATCTGGTTATTATTCCAAACCTGATACCTCTTACGAGCCTTAAGAAGTAATACGCTCCGTTGACAAAGGCTGGGACTCCTAAATGTAGAGATATTGGTTTATATGAACTAAACAAATATTCACCGGCTACTAATGGTGTCTCTCGTCATAAACATTGCGAAAATGCCGGCTTTGGATAGGTAGGTATCACATCTTTAAAATACATATTTCATCATACTCTATCAATCCTAAGGTAATGAAGGTCTAATTGTTGAATTCTATCACTATGCTATCAGTTTGTTTCACTTATTCCCGAAGTCTACTGATAGCAATATGGGAAGATTCAACTATCAGTATTTGATCATCTAATGCGACCAAAGGTGATTAGAACTTTTATTCCGAATCTACCGATAGTTTTGAAACCTACTAGATTGGAATATAAGTGGTTTAATATATTGTAATAGCAAATACAAATTTGTCTCATCAACACTACTCAAGGCCTGGACTCTCTTGGAGTTAACTTTTTCCTTGTGACCAATGGGAACTCGTCGCCGTGTAGCATGGTTGTAACAAATCGAAATTAAATGCTGCGCTATCCTAACGTGGGTTCGATTCCCGCTCGCTATACTAATACGACGATGAGTTGAGGTCAAATCTGCTGTAAGCCCTAGATAAGAATATCTTATAAAAGGCAAAAGTAAGTAAACTTCTGTATGGTCCTTATTGATGATCGTGTACGTTACTTTATCATCTAGTGCCTGTATCAATTTTTCTATA